CTAAATCCACAAGATTAAAGTCTACACATACTTGCCCCAATTAGTACTTTATTTCAAATACATTAAATGTAAATATGAGTTCCCAGTGTGGCTTCATTTTTCCAGATGTGTCCTCAGTATTGGGTTCAGAAGCATTTCTATACATCTTCCTGCTTGAAAGAATGCTTAATTGTCTTTTGGAAGAGAAGTGACAGAGAGAACGTCAGTAACACMCAGCTCAGAGGAGTCAGTCAGGCATACTCAGGCTCAAATCCTTTTAGAGAGAGAGTTGTAATCAACTATTTCATGTTTTTGACTCATTATATCCTGTGATACTGARTAAAAGGAGAAGAATGTTTTCGTCTTTAGCTATATTCTTAACCACCATATTGATATGGTGAGTACTACATAGCCAGAGAATATTTCTGCAAGAGTCCTGTTCTTGTTCATTTCAGCAGCTTTTCTGCTTGGCAAACAAAAAAATTTTCCATCTTTATACACTTAAGAGGTAAGAGTAGCAAATTAAACAGTTTTGTACTAAAGTTTTTCTATTCAGAGATCAGAAGAATTCTCTCTTTCTTCTAATATGTATCTTTAATGTAATTTAAGTCATGACTTAAAATGACTTTAAGTCGTTTTTCTTCTTAATGGTAACTTGCCCTCTGCATTCTCCAACTCCCCAGAGGACTTAGCTCTGACATTTCTGCACTGGTTACAGTCTTTCTCTGATTTCATAATAGTTGCAGAATGTTAATTGTCGATAACTCTTGTTCTTTGTTGATCTTGGCCAAAATTAAACTAAAAGCAAGCTGTTCTTAATAAGCTAAGTAGAAACTTCTCTAAGAAGAAATAATTGGTTACAATCACTGTTAGTAGGCAAGAGTGATTCTTTCACAGGAATACAATGATAATAAAATTATAATTCTGTCTTCATGMAATCATTGCATTCAGTTCCAAAATGTACCAGTTTGAATTTGACTAAGACTTTTGTGAGTACTTTTTCAGGCACTCGTGTGAAATAGTCGATGAAGTTGATGCAGATCAATGCTTCTGCCAATACTTCTTCCCATCACAGCCATGTGCAAATATACGATAATGGAAAGTGGTTCCTTTTACCAAAGGCCAGTAACTGTGAAGTGATCTCAGTATTTTTGTTTAGAGCTGTCTTTAAAAGATATTTTCAAGATTCTCTGAGAGACAATGAGAAATTACAATCTTTGTGTGCACTGCTAATGAAATACCAAAATCAATGATTATAACAATTATCCTTAAGATACTAAATTGTCTGAAGAAATCCAACTTTCGGATGAACAGCAGGTTGTACAATCTATACTAGATTGTACATGGTGAGTTTCTTTGATGAAGTAAAATACTTTGAAATGCTACCTGTCAGAGACATGCGAAGTGCCCAGCTACTTGTGTGATTTCTGACAAATATGTGGAAATTTTAGATGCCTTTACGAAAACATATCTCATTAAATWTTTGTTCAGTTCTGTCTCTGAATCACCAATACAGCTGTGATCTTTCCGAACAAAACAGCTCCTAAAGTCCTGAGCAATGGACATGGCCAAAACATTTTCAGCTGAAGAAGCTCAACAATCACAATATCTTGCAACACTCAGTAATTTTGTTTTGGACAAGTTTCCCAACATACCCAGAAGAACACCAGAAGATTCTTCTTTCATTGCTCTTGCCCTTTATGACAGTTTTTAAAAGGGGACCAGGCAGAAAATCCAGAATTTGCAGTAGAAGTTTGGGCATAAGCTTAAATAAAGATTTGAGCACAGTTCCTCCATATTAACCACCAGCCTATAGACAAAGAGATTTTCTTTCTCTAGGCCAATGCATATTTAACTGCAAAATGGAGGGGATTTCTAGCATTCATATTGCAAGAACAAATCACTCCACAGCATGGTGAGAAATGTATTCTGCTACACCCTAGCAAAGCAGCATTGAGAAGTCTGCTACACATTAGGCAAATATGGAAATTTAAAAACTGATCTCCTGCTGTGCAGATATATCTCCTGCAGATGTTTGACCATTTTTTCGAGGTCTGATACAGTAAGCTGTGTTGTAGGGACAGTCAGAGAAGGGATGCCTGGTCTGAAAAAGTCATAGGAGTTTCTATGCCCAGCAACATGTTGGTGCATTGATGTGAGTCCAACTGGTGCTTTTGGTGCTTGCCAGGTTTGGAGCTGAAAAAAATGTTCCTATGAATCTTAGCTCCTTACCATGCAAAGTACAGTGTCTTTGTGGATCTTGGTKTATGAATTTTGGAAAAAGGGTTGTTTAGACACCCAAATCCATTCATGAAACAGATTTTTTTTTTATAATGGTTATTTTATATGAATGAAGTGCTGTAATACTGCAATGGCAAGTCCCAAACCAGTAGACATAGTAACTAGGCATGCTTATAATAAGCAGAAAGATGTCTTGGATCTTGCTTCTTCTACCTGTTCTGAATTAAAGCCTCAGCTTTTGTAACTTACCAGGTTTGCTACATATGTATGTAAATGTATATGTGTATATATATATATATATTTTAGAGACTTGATCTTTATCTTTCCTAGTTAATGGTATCACTGTTTCTTAACTCAGTTCTCCACTCTTTGGGGCCCGATGTATTATTTCTAGTAGGAAAACAAATGGATGATGAAGTAAAATATCTTTCATTCAGTTCTCTGTTTATTTACAACAACTGCTGGAATCCTCTCTCCTCAAATCGAGGCAGGCTTAAACTGAAGAAGATTTGATTTCCTAAACCTACGTTTTAGCTAAATTTTAGCTAAAAATCATCCCTTCTGGGATTTTCTCCAGGCCTTATTGGCAGTGCTTATCTAACAGGTACATGGTGCTTCATTACTGATTTCTTTCAGACAGCTAATGAATCTGTCTGTCTGCATGTGCCTTGCATGTCCCTTTGAGAAAGAGGGATACTTAGCTTTTGTTTCAGTAGATGTGCTTAGCTATCTAAGCTAGCTAGATGGTGCTTAGCTATCTAATATAACAATTTTAAATTAAAGATGGCAGTTGCAAACTCAGTACAATAGGTTTACACCAAGCCAGAACGACACAAAACAAGGATATGGTCTTCCCCTTCCTTACAAGTTGAATGAGACAACAGATTCAGGCAATTATATTTATGCACAAAATTAGTGGAGAAGTCAAAAGCTCATTTGTCAAAGTCACAGCACTTACGTGGTCACAAATCATAGAGCCATAAATGAAATACAAAGGGCATGATCATAAAGAGGAAGGAGTTTATTCACTTGTTGATGAATTAACCGACAAAAAAAATCAGTTGGCATGAGGTCCATTTCTGTTTGTCTTAGTACTAAATCTACAATCTAAATAATGCTACAAGGTCCAATTTGCCAAAGCCCAGATATGACCAAAAGATTTCTATAAAGTATGATGATAATCAGAAGGAAAGACACAAACTGATGTTTGTTATATACTCGATTTCAAACTCAGTGTCTGCTCATTCCTGACATAAGAAGGGTAGCTAAAGTGCTTTGCAATGACTGATAGGAATCCCATAAACATCCTCAAACTTTCATACTTTTTTTGTTGGTTTAGTTTTAATTTGTCGTGATTATATGCAACCATAAACTACTATGAAAGTAATTCCCCTTTTTTGACAGTTTCTAATGAAATAACACTTGGGGAGATCCAAAGAATATATGGCCTGGTGTGACCTATACTCCTCATTAAGCGGTGATAATGAAGCTGTGCTCTGTGTGCACAGAGGGTACATCATGACCTTCAGAAGACTAATGAAGGTATAACTGTATCTAGCAAGATAAATGGGATGTGGGTATTATAAAAATCCAGATCTTGCTTGCAGAGTCTATCAAGTTCCTCTAATTTTGATTTCCTTCCTCTTCCCTCAAATTCTTTGAGTGAATATATTATGAGTACAGGCCATCATTCTGTATCAAAATGGCAGACGTTAGGGCATACTGGTGCCTAACACTCCCTCCCTCCAAGAACTTAATTGTATCAAGATGCATGATGGCATTTTGACTTAGGACTTCAGATGTCACAGTATTACTAGAAAAAAAAAATCAGCTGCTGACTGCAGGCACCTGAATTATGATGAATTTTAAGCTCAGCATCTCTTGTTTCTGAAAATGAAAAGATAGCAAGAATTTGCAAGCTGGTGGAGCTGTCCTGGAAAGACTGGAATCTGCTGGATGGTACAATTTGTCCATTGTACCAGATTATGCTAAATAAATGAAACACGGTCACTATCAACTTGTATAAAAAGATTTAAACTATGTGAAGTTACAAATAAAAGACAAAATTACATATCTCACTCTCAGTCTTGGGAGAAACAGAAATGAGCCGTTAAAAGTTTGTGAATTCTACCTCATGAAGAGAAGTTTCACTTAGCTGGTCTGAATCCACAATAAAATTCCTCCCCTGGTACCTCTTGCCATATCCATGTGTCCTCAGCTTTTTCTGAGTTCATGGTGGAGCTGCTCAASTGGCTTCTCCACTTTGCAGTGCGGCAGCTCCATCTTTACATCCCCAACCAACTACTGCCCGGACGGCGGTGGCAGGCGCTGGCCCCCGTCTGCTCCAATTTTGGGCTCTACTTCGGATAGGATGGAGGCCAGGACCCGGAGGGATGCACAGGTCSCGCCCGAGCTTCGCCGCCCCCGCGGATGCTCCGCGGTCCGCAGCGGGACTCGGCGGCGCCCGCCCCCTCCCCGGCGAAACCCGCARCGGGGGCGACCGCCCCGCTCGCCCAGGTGAGCACCGAGGGCGGCGCGGAGCGGCGCGGAGCGGCGCGGCCCGCCCCGCGCGGAGCCGGGGAGGTGTGTCCGCGCACGTCACGGCTGCCCGCGATAAATGCGCGACGGGGAGGGCCGCGGGAGCGGAGTGCACGGAGCGGTTCAGCGCGGCCTGGCGCCGAGCGGAGAGGCGCGTACAGCGGCACAGCGGCACCTCGGCCCGGCGCTCCCGCACGGCCGCGGCCGAGCAGGGAGCGCGGCGGGCGGGCCCCGCGGCAGGACGGCGCCGTCGGAGCGAGGGTAAGCGCGGGTAAGCGAGGGTAAGCTCGGCCCGGGAGGGYGGTCGTTCCCGCGGTGCGCGGGCCGGAGGGTGCCGCGCCGGGCGCCCCTCGTTGCAGGTTCCTCTGCCCCGCGCCCGTGTTTTTGTTGTCCTCCTCCGGACGGATGTGGTGGGGTTGGTGCGACCGGAGTAAAGCGTTTTCATCTGGAGGGAGTGAGGCCACCGTGGGGATTGCTCACCGATAAGCACCCAGACATGAAGAAGGAGCAGGGCTTGAGATCTGCTCTTGCTAGTGCTACTTTTGCAAAGAGTTAGCTGTGCTTTTCTTTGTTCAGTGAACAGAATAGTCTCCTATCTCCCCCCATTTGTTTGGCAGAGCTGAATACTTCTTGTGTTACAAGGGGCTTGTAAATCAGGAAACAAACTCCTTGATCAAGAACATATTTTCAAATGCACTGGGAGTGTATATATTTCATATTAACTTGAGTTCTTCATATGTAGGCATTTGAATTCAAGCCTTTTAGCTTGAAATGTGGTTTTGTTTGTTTTTTTTTTTGGTGGTGGTGGTGTGTGGTTTTTTATTTTTTTGGTGTTGCAGAGGGCAGGGGTGGTAATACATTCCAGTCCTGGAAGACCTTATCTGAAGTCTAATCTTCATTAATGCCTGTCTCCTTTTAAGTACATATGAAAAGCATGCTTTCTTGCAGGCAGCCCCTGAAGAGGCCGTGCCTGTATACTTTATAAATCCACTTAAATGATCCTCAGTTCGTAAGGCTGAAGATAAGTTATCCTTCAAAAACCGCAGCATRCATTTATTGGTGCAAACTACATGTAGCATCCTGTCTGCCTCCCTAAAATGATGCTGACAAACTCTCTGCCCACTACAGTTTGACTTCTGTTGTTCAGCAAATTGGCACATGCCAGTACTTCAATCTCAAAAATATTTTGCTGTCTCTTATGCCTTTGCAGACCTGGAAGAAAGACTTTGTCTTGGAGCTAACTCGAGCATTTTGAGATCATTCATCATGAAGTATGTAGTACAGGAATGGCTCAGAGTAACTACCTTGCTATTCATAGCTCAAGCAGTTTCTGCAATGGTCCTCTCCAATGCAACGGTCTTAGAGGAACTTTTGGAAAAATACATGGATGAAGATGGTGAGTGGTGGATCGCCAAGCAGAGAGGGAAAAGGGCTATCACAGACAGTGATATGCAGAGTATCTTGGATCTTCATAATAAATTACGGGGTCAGGTGTATCCACCAGCTTCCAATATGGAATATATGGTAAGGAAAAACTGATAGTGACATCCAGAAAGAAATGTTAATAGAGTAGTTATTGTAACTTTATTGGCATACTTACAATTTTAGCTTGCTTGTTTTGCTTGTTTTCTTATTTAAAGCGCTTGTAACTTGCTTGCCTCTCTCCCTCTTTTTATTTTTTTCTCCTCCTTTTAACAGTACAGGATAAACTGCGGTAAAGAAAAATCCTGTTTGTGGATCAAATATATTCTATTGATATTAATAAGTTTATCTCTGATAGCTATCCTGAATGGATGAGTTATTCCTCAGTGTAATGGGCCAAGAGTGGATTATTTATAATAATTGATTATGTCAATAATTTACCATTTGAGAAGTTTCAATATAACATAGATTATCTCCCAAGCTTTTAGGCAGCACAGAATTTCTCAGCAAAAAAGAGGTTCCTGTAACATGAAAGTATTCTGTTTAAGTTGGCTTGTTCTAGTCGACTGGAGTCCTTTATGTTTCTACTGATGTTATACATAATTTGTATTTGTATTTTTCCTTGAAGAAATCTCTGTTCATATAGCCCTTGCTCAAGACTAACATATAGCGCTCTCTACCAATTTGATAAAGTATGCTAAAATATTGCCATTTGAGTTGTTAAAGTTTTATAAGAACAGATATCTCTTCTTTACTCATGTTTCAGCATAAAAGCTTAAATCTAGTTCCTGTGCTGATACTATGTATTATTATTATTTTTTTTTGTTTCTGCAAGTATGTTATGGAATGAGTGTGTGTCAGGGGGTGAGTGACACAATGCACTTCACTCATGTGAAAGAAATAGTAATAGGTTTTATTGATGTGGACCATGGTTTCATGAGATTCTGTGGCAAGGCCACTTATGACATGAGATATAAGATACACACACAGAATTACCAAGGAGACCCTCCTGTTGAGTCACAGGGTTCAGATCGGATGCCCTTGCTTTCCAACTTCATTCTGAGAGAAGCCTGGGTGCAGCTGGATCCAATCCTAGTCCCAGACCTGGTCAACACTTTATGACTACAGAATTTTATGCACAGTTACATCAGTAAAATTTACAAGTTCAGAGAGTGAACTTGTAAATAGTCACTTACCACAGATCTGTTGCAGCAAGGATCTCTTTAACTCCCAGGAGTATCCTTGAGAGGTGTCCCTGCTTGGGGGAAGATCCTGGTGTGCAACGTCCTGCCATGCAAAAGAGAGCTCAGTGGGCTCTCGAGCCATCCCCATGCTTAAGGGATAAGCTGATTGACTTATAGTTACTCTTTCATTTCAGAGGACTTCTGGCTGGTGTATGCTCAATTAACCCTTATCTCCTCATCAGAATTCAGCTATGGTTATTGTCTGAATGGAGGAAGATGTCAAGGAGGCAATCACCAGGATCAAATAATATCACTGGTGGTTAACACACGAATAGGACTACCTGTGAAAATTCAGGTTTGGCTGGGGAAGGAGCACATCCATCATGAAGTATAAGAGAAAATATCACCACTATAGGAAGGACAGGTTTCCTGATACCTTCCATTGGAAGGTGGTGACAGGATCCTACTAACACATTTGAAGATGTACAAGCTGTCACAGCTTGGAGGTACCTTTCTCTCAGTGTGGAGGTGTGATTGAACAGGGCATGTGTGTGTCCTGGAGACATGCTTAAATCAAGGACAATTTAACCCACGTTAAACAGCATGAGTGTTATAATACTAGGATAAGCACAGAGAACTAGTTATCTCCTCTCATCTCCAAACAAAGAGACAATAATATCTTGAACCCATTTTACTGTTTAAATTATGGCCACTGCCTAAACTGTATTTTCTGCACTGTGCCCACTTTTGCATAGACTATAGTAGGTTTGTATCTGCAGAAAGGATTTTGTCTTTATTTTTTTTTCTCCTATCTGCTCCCAAATGGTCCCTGCTGCAGAGCCCAAGTGTTACTGAAATGAGATATCTTTAGAGGTGGGGACTGGGAAAACAGAAATAGACTAGGACAGACAGCTTTGAGGAGAGAGTGTTGGCATTCATATCCAAGGAAATCAGGGGCTGCCATGGGCAGGAGGTTGGGATTCTTAATGCTTAGTGGGTCTGTCCAAAGAGATGGACAGTGGTGTGCAGGGCATCTGGGAGACAGTGGAGGGAGGCTGAGGCCTCAGCGATGTGGAAGGAAAGAACATTGGGACAGATATGGTTGGGGGAAGAATATGGACTCTCTGCCCAAAGAAAGATTGGGAGTAGGGAATTATGGAAGGAGGTTAAGAGCATGGGAATTTGCTAAGAGGCTATTTTAAGACTAAGTTATGGAATGAGTAGGAAGGGAGATTGTAACAAGTAGGAGAAACGAATGCATGCAGTGATTGGGAACTGAGAGAGCGTGGTTGAGGAGACAGTGGGCACTCTGCACTGCTTTAAAAAGAAAAAAAGCTCTTAGATCTTGTTTTACATGTTTGTGAGCTTTGAGTGGGGGGAAAAAAAAAGAATAGGGGTGATGAAATTGAAATTTCATCAAATAGACCCATACAACTAAAATATATCTTACATTTTTTTTGACTAGGATGCATATGGTTTTGCAGTTAAGCAGAATAAAGGAACAATCCTCCTGAATGTTTGCTTGTGAAAACTGATCTAGCAAAATTGATAAGTGAAGATGCAAAACTTTGATGTGCTTTAATAGTACAGAAATACTGGCAAAAAGGACCCGTTATGGCCACGGTCTTCCCAGGATAAGTTGTCCTTTGTACTAGTAAAACCATTCCTTAGAAATATGTCCATTTGTGAAGTTAACTTTTTTTGAGTGATAATGAATTTAATTGTTCGAAGTTCAGACACCAAAATACTTATCCCTGTAGAAGTCTGTCATATAGGTTAAGAAAAAGTTTAAAATCCCCAAGTATACTTGGAAGTGGGAGAAAACTTTCTCCCACTTCTGAAAGGTCTCCCACGTCTGAAAGATTAACTTTCAGACAATTTAGGTTCTAGAATGGACTTTAGGCATAGCTGAGTCTGAAGAGGGTGGCAATACATAGCTAAGGAGTGAGTACAGGAAGTATAACAACATTTTGGAAAGAAGTTATTTATTATATTGCCTTACATTTTTTATATTACCGTACTTGTAATGTCCAACCTTACCTTTTAGGAGCCTACATGGCTATGGCTGCCTTCTGAATTTAAGTTGTGAAGGGGAAGAATACTTCCTACCTGCTTTTTACTAACATACTTCTATACTTTCTAAATATATTGGTTTTCAGAAGAAAAAAAAAACTGCAAGGATACTGAAAAGAATAAACCATAGCATGATATTCTATGTCATGGCATGGTTTAAATTTTGATTTAGCTTCAGTCATAGGAGATAAAAAGGTACAAAATAATACCTATGTGTGATACTCTAATGCAGTTACTTTGTGGTTCCTTGGCTTGCCAATGGCTTTTTCCTGAAGTTCGCCTACAGCACTGAAAATCTCTATTCCATTAAAAAATGCTGGTTTTTCTGTACTGCTTAAATTCTGGCAAGAAAAAGAAGATAGCAACATGAAGTTACTAACTGCATTAAGTTTCGCTTTAGAGATGTCCAACCAGCAGAATCCTCTCATGGTTAGCTGGCTGAATTTATAGCATCAAAAGTTCATCTTCTCAAATATTCTGTCCCTTGAAGATGTACTATGCATCTTCTATGAGCTTAGATTCTTTGCATATATGGCATTAAGTTGCTGTGCTTTATAATAATGCACTGTACTTATAATTATGCAGTTCTTTTTCATTTAAACATGTTATTTTATTTGATGCTCAGTTTTCTTTGTTGTAAGAATAATGCAAAATTCTCACATACTTGTAGTTTGTATTTTTCACAGTTTTATAACTTTTATAGTTATCTCAGCCCTTTCTCCTTCAGCTGAAGAGTCTTATGCTTCTAACTTGAAATCTATTTCCTCTGAAAAGCTATTCCATTTTGCAGTGCTAGTGCTTCCCTATCAGCTGTGGTCCTACTGCATTCCTCTAGTTCAAAGGGAACACAACGTAATACACTGACAGTTTGTGTGCTGTGGATTTATATTGTTGGATTTTGTGTGTGTGTGTGTGTGTTCTTTTTTCTCTTCCTAATAATTCTCAGTAGTCTTTTGCTTTTTGATCTTGAATAAACTAAACTCAACATTTTCAAAGAACTCTTGACAGTGTAGTGCTGATGGGTCATTTCCAGTTCCCTGTTGTGTATGTGTAGTTGGCTGCAATCTCCTGTACCCTTTATTTTGCATATATTAACACAGAATATTATTTGCCATTGCCTGCCACTCAGTATTACAGTATCTTCATTTTCTACTCTCCCTTTTTTTTTAAACTACCTTAACTTAATGCTAGCAATAAACAAAAGTCACTCAAATTGCATTTCCCTGTATTGGGATGTTATGAAGAAGTTACAGTACTGTTATTTACAACACAAGACCAAGGATTTTTTTTAATGTGATAAATATTTCTTTATTCTTAAATTCTATTTTGTCTTTTTATCATCTTTTTGTCTTTTTCATCTCAGCATAGCTTTATTAATTTATTTTCTCCCTGGCAATGCCAATCACAGAAAGGCAAAGACCTGTCCAAAGACAAAGACCTTGATTTGCCATAAATTTGTCCACCTATTTATAGTCTTGGAATATGTAGGAGAATGTATTATTTCTGTGGTTAAAATATTCATCAAATCACCATTTTTGGACACTTAATTTTAGATGTAGTTCTGTCATCAATGTTACCCTTAAGTAAAGTATGAAGTGTTTTACAGAAAAAAAACTTTTACCTCAAATAGAGTGGTAACATGATGAATCGGGAAATAAGTACACTGGTTTGTTGTTCAGACTAGAATGATATCAAAGGCCTTCATCTATCTTCTTCTGTTAGAAAGGAATATTTATTGTTGCATTATTATTGAATTATTACCATAAAAAGTAAATACAGTGTTGTAAAGTGTTGAAAAATCTCAAAATACTTGATTTAGGTGCCATAATCTTACAATTTTCTTAT